CCGATGATAAATCGGAATGCTGTAGAGGTCAGTCGTTCCCTTAGTGTAATGCACTAAGCAGCAGCTTCCTCTCGCAAAGCACTTTTGTAAGGTTAACAGGCTTTATACTATTCAGTTATACATCATTTTCATTTCACTAAGTCAGCAAACGTTCGAAAATGCAATTTTAGCAGTTGCTGCCCTTAAATAAACACACAATTTAGTAAAGTTATAGTATCTAATAAAAATCCTTTCCTCTCCTCCCTCTTCCCCCTTTTCTTTGAGAATATAACAACCTTGGAGTTACGCAGAATGTGCTGTGGTCAACACTTTTAGATGGATTGGGACTCTAACCGTCAGACAGAGACAGCGACACCTTTGTAACAATGCTTGCTCCAGCCTTTATGGCCCAGATGCCAATGATCACTGACCCAGCTTATTCTAGCAGATGTTGCCTTACCATCAATATTTGTCATAGCGAGAAGCTTTTAAGCCGTATTTTTCTCATCACCAGGTGTTTGGGAGTTTAACTCATCTAGATTTATAGGATTACTAATGTAAAGGGAAGGAATGCGATATCACTGCATGATTACGCAAGAGACATGTTTCCTAACTGGAGGCATGTCCTTTTTGACCTTTTGATTTACCTTTGTTCGCTGTTTATATAATTTGAAGTTCACTTCTTTCCCTTTCCTGTCATCCTTTATCAGGCAATGCTCTCATTCCATTGGAATGTTTCTAGCGCCTCCTCACAACTAGGACCAAAACTCCTCTGCAAAAGAGTTCCTATCTCTGAATGTCTGAGGGAAGATATGCTAAGGAAACAAGTTGAATTCCAGTTTACAGCTCTGAAAGATGAGAAATTAGCACAGGAGGCCAACTGTTTGAAACCATGAGCCTTTTTTTGGTGCATTTTGAAAATCCAGAACATTTGTTTTAAACACTGCTCTTTAATTAACAGGAATTTTGCAAACTCTGTGGATGAAAATACCCCATGCTGCGAAAATCAAGAGAGCAAACCACCGAAGTTTCATCCTCTTTCAATGTACAAACATCTGGAATTTATAATTTAATATCACTGCTTTACTCATTTTTCTAATAAATAAACCGTCGCTGCACTTATAGCTTTAATCTCCTATAA